CACCCCTCCCTTCCCCCATTTACCCGCAGCCCCCAAATCCCCCCGAAAAAACCCAAAAACGCCCCAAAATCGCCCGAAATCCCCCCAAATCCCGCTCACGTTGTCGTTGGACGGTTCATCCTCGGTGCCGGCCTGAATTCCATAGGCCAGGAAGCAGAGGATGGCCCCGATCCAGAGCAGGATGGAGAAGCCCCCGAAGAGCTGCCGGCAGAACTTCACCCACTCGGGGGTCGTCGGGGGGGGGGTCAGAGCGTTGGGACCGTCCCGGGCCAGGATCTCCTGAGCCTTGCTGTGCGTCAGACCCTGAACCCCCAAAAATAAAACCCCGAAAAATGGGGGTTAGGGGGGGAAAAACCCGAAAAAAAGCCGAAATGGAGCTCGAAAAGTGAAAAAAAACCCCTTGAAAATTGAATTAAACTCAGCAAAAAGTGAAATAAACCCACCCCAAACCCCCCCCAAAATTGAAACAACCGCCCCCCAGAACCCCGAAAATTGAAATGAATCCTCAAAAATTGATATGGGCCCCCAAAAACTGAAATAAACCCTTCTGCGCCTTGCTGTGCGTCAGGCCCTGAACCCCGGAAAATAAATATAAAAATAGGAGGGTTAGGGGGGGAAAAACCCCGAAAAAGACCCCTGAAATGGAGCCCAAAAAAGTGAGAAAAATAAAGCTTTGATAATTGGAATAAAGCCCCTCAAAAGTGAAATAAACCCACCCCCCAAAAAAAACCCCAAAATTGAAATAACTGCCCCCCCAAAACCTGAAATAAACACCCCCAATAAGCCCTCAAAAATTGAAATAAACCCTGAAAAATCGAAATAAAGCCCCCCAAACTGAAATAACCCCCCCGAAAATTGAAATAAACCCCCCAAAATTGAAATAAAGCCCCCCAAAATTGTAATAAAGCCCCGAAAAACTGCAATAAAGCCCCCAAAACTGACCTGGACGCAGTCGGTGTTGTATTTCCTGCAAACCTCCTCGATGGACATTTTGTGCTCCGTCTGCGGGGACGGGGGAGAGACCCCCGGTCAGAGACCCCAAAAACCCCCCAAAACCCCCCAACTGCCCCTTCAGGGACCCCAGACCGGCTCAGCCCCCCCAAATCGCCCCCAAAATCCCCCAAATCACCCTTTAACGACCCCAAATCGCCCCAAAATCGCCCTTTAACGACCCCAAATCGCCCCAAAATCGCCCTTTAATGACCCTAAACCTCCCCAAATCACCCCAGTCCCCTCCAGCCTCCCCCTAAACCCCCCAAAACACCCCAAAACCACCACCCCAAACCCGCCTTTCAATGACCCCAAACCACCCCAACCCCCTCAAATGCCCCCGAACCTCCCCCAAACCCCCCAAACCTCCCCCTAATCCACCCCAAAACTCCCCAAATCACCCCAAAACCGCTCTTTAATGACTCCAACTTCCCCCAAAGCCCCCCAACCTCCCCCGACCCTCCCAAAATCACCCCAAACCTCCCCAAACCCCTCCCCAAACCCCCTCTAAACCCACCCTTTAATGACCCCAAATCCCCCCAAAACCGCCCTTTAATGACTCCAAACCACCCCAAATCCCCCCAAACCGCCCCAAAACCGCCCCAAATCCCCCCCAAATCCCCCGGACTCACCATGGCCACCTCCTTCTTGAGGTCATCGAGGTCCCGGGTCTTGCTCTTGCCCTTTTTGGGGGACTCCTTCTCGCCCCCCTTGTCCTGCGTGGTGGCCACGCGGTAACTGTCGGAGCCGCCGAACTGGGGGGGGGCCCGTTACCGGGGGGCCCCCAAAAACTCACCCCCCAGATCCGGCGGCACCGGCAGAGACCCCAAAAAAAATCCCCGCCCCGAAAAACCCC